ACTGAAGAAGGAAATATTAGATGATGTAAACAGGTGGAAGACCATAGCATGCTTGTGGGTCAGCAGAATCAACATTGTTAAAATGTCTATACTACCCAAAGTGACCAACAGAGTCAATGCAATCCCTATTAAAATGCCATCATCATTTTTCATAGATATAGAAAAAATAATTTTACGCTTTGTATGAAACCAGAGAAGATCCTGTATAGCAGAAGCAATCCTAGGCAATAAAAACAAAATGGGAGGTATGAATTTACCAGACTTCAAACCATACTATAAGGCTATAGTAATTTAAACATCTTGTTACTGGCACAAGAATAGGGACATTGACCAGTGGAACAGAACTGAGAACCCAGATATAAAATCATTATCATATAGCCAACTAATCTTTGACAAAGCAGACAAAAACATACCCTGGGAAAAGGAATCCTTATTCAATAAGTGGTCCTGGGAAAACTGGATAGCCACATGTAGAAGACTGAAACAGGACCCATACCTTTCACTTCTCGCAAAAGTCAACTCACGCTGGGTAACAGACTTGAACCTTAGGTGTGAAAATATTACAAATCTAGAGGAAAATGTTGGAAATACTCTTCTAGACATTGGCTTAGACAAAGAATTTATGAAGAAGACCCCAAAGGCAATCACAGCATCAACAAAAATAAATAAATGGGACCTGATCAAATTAAAAGGCTTCTGCACAGCCAAAGAAACTATCAAGAGAGCAAATTGACAACTCACAGAATGGGAGAAAATTTTTGCAAGCTTCACATCCAATAAAGGGCTGATAACTAGAATCTATTTAGAACTCAGGAAAATCAGCAAGGGAAAATCAAACAACTCTATCAAAAATTGGGCAAAGGACATGAACAGAAACTTTCCAGAATAAGACAGAATCATGGCCAACAACATATGAAAAAATGGTCAACATCTCTAATCATCAAGGAAATGCAAATCAAAACCACAATGAGATATCACTTAACTCCAATGAGAATGCCTTTAATAACAAGTCCCAAAACAATAGATTTTGGCGTGAATGTGGAGAGATAGGAACACTCCTACATTGCTGGTGGGAATGCAAACTAGTTCAACCTCTGTGGAAAGCAATATGGAGATACATTAAAGTGATACAAGTGGATCTACCATTTGATCCAGCAATCCCATTACTGGGCATCTACCCAAAAGAACAAAAATGAATCTATGAAAAAGACACCTGCACTCAAATGTTTATAGCAGCACAATTCACAATTGCAAAGATGTGGAAACAACCCAAGTGCCCATCAATACATGAGTGGATTAATAAAATGTGGTATATGTATACCATGGAATACTATTCAGCTATAAGAAACAACAGTGATATAGCACCTCTTGTATTTTCCTGGATAGAGCTGGAACCCATTCTATTAAGTGAAGTATCCAAGAATGGAAAAATAAGCACCACATGCACCCACCATCAAATTGGTATTAACTGATCAACACATAAGTGGACATATAATAATATAATCTATCTCATGTCAGGTAGGTGGAGGGGAGTGGATGGGTATATACATACATAATGAGTGTGATGCGCACCAACTGGGGGATGGATACACTTGAAGCTCTGACTTGAGGGGAGGGTGTCAAGGCAAATATATGTAACTTTAACATTTATATCCCCATAATATGCTGGAAAAAATAAATTAAAAAAAAGAATTCTATGTAGAATCAGAGAAGAATATATTTGAGATTAGTAAGGAAAGAGATTTCCCCGCCACTTTTATCTTTCTCTTAACTATTCATTTCATCTACTCTTCTGGACTATGCTGAGATAGCAGATTTTAGATGTGGGAATGGAGATCCCCTACTTCTAGAATCCATCTCATATTCACTGTTTAGTTGGTTAACAAGAGATTCCTTGGAACATCATTGCATTCAACATTTGTTGGTAACCTCCCCAGCTCTGAGGCTGCCCTTCCCTGTTCTGAGGACATCTCTCTGTGCTTTGATCCCACCGCCAGCTGTAGAGGAGAACCCTTTACTGACTTAAGCCATCTTATCCTTTCTGGCCATGATGCCTGTTTAATGATAGAAAAAATAACCAAATTTGTTTGCTCCATTAGAAAAGCCATCTCTCTACCAGACACAAACAAGAATGTACGAATATACAATGGAATACTACTCAAAAAAAAAAAAAAAAAAAAAAAAAAAAAAAGAATGTACGAATTGCCAAGAGTTACTGGCAGCCATCTTGACGACGTGAGGGAAAGCCTGCGTGAGAGTTAGGTCAACACCCGGGAAGTGGACCCGACACTGTGGAAGTGGGTCCAGAAACCAGGTGATGCCCATACATAATTCTGGACACAACATTTAAGCCCTGGGGGGAAAAACCCTCCTCTAATGCTTAATCTCCTCTAGATTGTTCCATTACATGATTCAGTAAGTTTCCTCTTCTGTGTAAGCTAATTAGAGTCAGGTTTTTCTGAAATATTTCTGTCAAGAATGTTCTCTAGGTAATGCAGTATTTTTCCTACCAAATAAAATAAATTCAGTCAATCAGTATCTAAGGTAGACACTGGGTAGCAGGAAGAAATTGTATAAAGATTCATGTATGTGGTGGTCATTAATTTGCTCACATCGAGGGAAAGCTTAGACTCTAGTCTTTGGCCTACGAGAGAAGGCTGGGTAGTTGACATAAATATCCTCTCTTGCATCATCTGTGGGTAGATCGGCAGAGGTGGGACTTCTAGAGTTGTTGGGTGCCTAGAAAAACAAACAGCAGAGGGTGTCAATAATTCACTGAATTTCAGCAGTTAATAAAGACATGCAAATCATACATCTCTCCCCAATTCAACCACGATATAGGTCAATTGTCTATCATAATTAAATTCATAAAACATTCTCTTCATTGAACTTTTGTTAGAAATCACATTCTTGACTTGCAGGACTCTGAGTGAGTGCAATAGAAACCTAATCTAGATTATCACTTGCTGTATTCTGTTATGAATTACTCTTTCAAAGTAGAAGTCTCTCTCCCAATGTTAGGCTATTTTGATATGAACAATTATTTTCATTATTAATATGGAAATTCTAGTGTGGTTTTTCCCTATAGTGTGTACTCATTGATGTCTCTTGAATGAATGCCTTAATGGATATCTTTAAAGTACATAGTGTCCTAGGTTTCAAAAACAAGCAACTGAACATAATAAAATAAATTCACGAAACTGACATTTACTTTCAAGATAATTGAAATACGAGTGTCATTATTATATAGATGACTTAAAAAAAAGAATCAAGTAAATCTAATTTCTTTATCTTTAACAGTCCAATTTACTATCTTTTAAAATCATCCTTCACAAAATCATTATTCTACAAAAGCCTAAAAAAGTTGGATACCTAATGTAGACAGTTGCAAAGCTCCCTTCCTCCCCCCAAATTCACAACAATAAATTCAGCTTTTGATTGGCTCGAGTAAGCAAAGGGCTGCACATTAAGAATCTCCAAATCATATGTGAAAGAGTTTGGGCTGCTATAACAGAGTATCAAAGACTAAGTGACTTAAACAACAAACATTTAGTCCTCACAGTTCTGGAGTCTGGGAAGTGCACAATCAAGGGTTTGGTAGGTAGGTGTCTGCTTCCTGGGGTGCAGATGGCTGACTTCTGGTTGTATCATTACATGGCAGAGAGCATAGAGTGGAAACTAGCTCTCCTGTCTCTCCTTACTAATTCCATTCATGAGGGCTCCACCTGCATGATCTAATCACCTCCCAAAGTTCCCTCCTCCTAATAACCATCACATGGGAGTTTAGGATTCCAACATATGAATTTTGGGTAGACATAAAAATTCAATCCATAGAAACATTTTATTGTGAAATTTCGTAAACAGAATATTCGTTGGAGAGGTTTGACCTAGAGTGGAGAAAATGAGCATGAATATAAGCACCCCTCTTACGTGCAAACCCTGAAGAAAGTTTCTACTCTTTTAATTTAACAATGGAGGGCAGAGCAAGGTAGAATGAGGAGGAAAATTTTACAGTTCCTCAAACTCCTACAGCCCATAAGAAAGTTCTTTAGCATTATAATCTAATTTGAGCATTCATTAATTAATAAATTAGCTTCAGATGTAATAATAATGATGCATATCATCTATTGTGTCCTTCTGTGTACTTGCTGTGCTTTGGGGTCTTTTATGTAGTCTAATTTAATTTAGCCCTTCACAATAATCTTATGACATAAAAATATTATTATTCCCTGTACTGGGTTGGATAGTTTCCCTTCAAAATTGATGTCTTTTTCCAGAACTTCATAATGTGACCTTCTTTGGAAATAGGATCCTTGTAGAGGAAATTAAGATTAGATGAGGTTATACTGGAGTAAAGTAGACCTTTAATTTAGTCCAGAATGATCGGCAACCTTATAAGAAAAGAAGGAACACCAAGAGGACACAGGAGAGGACGCCATGTGAAAACAGAGGCAGAGATTGGAGTAATGTGTCTACAGGCCAAGGATCGTCAGCAACTACCAGACGCTAGAAGACAAGAAAGAACCAAGCATTCTGACACCTTCTGGTGGACTTCAACTCTCCCGAATTGTGACAGAATAGATTTCTGCTGTTTTAAGTTGCTGGGTGTGGTAATTTGTCCTGGCAGTCCTAGGAAATGAATATAGATTTTGGGAAGGCATAGGGTGGATTGTTTTTGCAACAGTGTAACTGCTCTTTTATTTATATCAATATAAAAATCTTAGTTTCAAAGGATATTACAAATAGGAGAATAGTTGAGAAAATAACTTTCCCCAGATAGCTGATATTCGAATTACAGGCCAACTGCATGGCCAGATTATTGAAAGGAGAATAAAAAATAAGATTGCTAACTGCAAAACAGACTGATTTTACAATACCTTTATAAATCACAAAAGGGGGAAAAAATGACAATTCTGAGCAAACTCACCTTTTTCTGTGTATCCCAGAAGTCTTTACATAGGTCTCTTTTCTGTCTCCTCCTCCATCTGGAAGGCATATTCAATAGAGGATATGAAGATATGCTACTCCAGCACTAGTATTATTTCAAACACCCTAAAGCTCAGCCTACCCCTGGCCCACACGCATGTACTAATTGTGTTGAAGCAGCTATCCACCACTGCTTTCTGCACACTTATCCAAAATTCTACTGACCTGACTTTTTTCATTTTCCCTACTTTCTCCAGTGTGCTCATTGATGGTGGGGACAACAAAATGAGCATCCAACCAGTGTGCATTAGTAATGCCTCTCAGTGATTTGACTGGACAATGGTTTATAGCAGGTTATTGCATGCATGGTTTACAGCCTTCTCCAAATGACCTTGGACTCAGAAATTGTCCACAATTAAAACTTCTTATAAATGCCAACAGTGTAACTTGTTGGATGACGACAATAATATAATGAAGCTTTATAAAATCTTCCAGGCGTTATTCTAAATCACCTGTATGGATTATTTTATTTAGATTTCATCAAACCCTATATCTAACAGAGTGGGAAACTGAGGTGTAAAGAGGAAGAATAACTTGCTCGAAATCACACGGTTAATGGTAGCATCGGGATTTAAATCCTCAGCCCTCCCTCTTGACTGTTAGACTCCACTACTCCTGGAGTCGCTTCCTTGTGGCTAAAGGGACTCTCTGGAGCCGTGCTGTTCAATCAACTCCCCACGGTTCCAACAAAGCCCATAAACTCCTGACTCCAGGAGAACTCTTAGAAAGTATAATAGAAGAAGAAAAGTGGCTGCTGTAATTGAATGCAGTAGATAAAATAAATATATCCAAGTATATGAAAACAGTTATCGCGGGGAGATGGTGACTCTTTTTTATCTCCCTAAAGAAAAGATTCTTATGAGCAACAGAGGAGATGGGTTAGATGCAAAAATGTAGGGTTTTTTTTTTGTTGTTGTTGCTAAGATAAGGTCAAGAGGAATCATTCCTCTGTTCAAGGACAGAGGATTCAGGTGGGGGATATTGACCTTAGAGGTCTCTTCTAATCACTTTGAAATCCTCCTACCATATCAACGTATTACCTTATTTTATGTGCATTTATTTGCTTTATTTATTATTATTTAAACCAATTATTCCTTAACTTATTTACTTATTCTACATGTAAATTTACTATGTGCAAGGCATATTTCTAGGTGTTTTATGTAAGTTGTTTATTCTTCAAAACAAATCTATGATATAGATGATATTATTACCCTCTTTTTACAGATGAGGAAATTAGGACAGAGATCTATGACCTTTGACCTTTTATTAAATTGTGCTTCACAAGGTTTGCTATCTCATAATTAACGTTTTCCCAAATGGGTCCAAACATACACACACACACTTAAATAAGCCTAGAGTATACAGTATGATGAAGAAAAGAGAACACGGGGCTTAGAGTCAGATGATCTGTGTTTAATTTTTGCTCTGAAAGGTACTAGCTGAGTTATTTACATCACTAAAGTTCAGTTCAGCCCTTTCATCTGTAAGATACAAATCGTAAACATATCACAGTTTGTTCTAGGTTGACCAGCTATTCTGGTTTGCCTGGGACTAAGGAGTTTCCCAGGATCAGGGATTTTCAATGCTGAAACCTGGAAAGTCCTCTATTTATTGGGAACGTCAATATCAATGACAAATGTAAAAATAAGTATCTAACACTTTTGTCACTAGATGTTAAATTTCTTCCTCCATACACAGATGTCAATCAATAAAATATATCCCTAATATTTGGGGTCTTTCACACTTACCAGTGCTACCCCACTACCCAGCCATATTCACTTACTAATGTTACTGTTCTTATCTCTACATGAAAACCACACAAACCAGGAGCAGAGAAACTGCTTGCAATCCCCCTGGACACACGGGCTGCTAGACGCTGAGTGTGGAGTAAGAATTCGGTTTCGTTCAGACACACCGCCTGATTTGTGTTGGCTTCTATCCAAGTCAGTTCATCTGAAGCGGCAGGATTACTTTAAACAGTAGGTAAAACAGAGTTCAGGAGGTCGTTGTTGAAGCCCTCAGGTCGTTTTTCAAAGCATTTCTATTTGAAATAACACCCACATACTTACACAAGCGACAAGGTAGAAAGAGAACAGGGCTTTTTCCTTTGTGGTGCTCTTCCATGATTATGAATTCAAGTCCACTAAGCTTCTTTTATCACATTTAACCAAGTGGGACAATATATTCTACAGTTCAATTTAGCTATTCATGTAAAAGTGATACATTTTCATGAAGCAAAATCCATCATGTCCAACATCTGTGACCCTCCGGAGATCAGTTCCGTCGCTTGCTCTGAGTCATGTTGCCGGGTTCCCGTGCGCTCACACTGCCACCTCTGCCCTGGGTGCGTTTTCTGTCACCAAGGTGAAGCGGTAGAGAAGTCCTGGGTGCCACTTACACATGGGTTCCTTATCTCAACTTGCTAATTTCTGTTCGGGGAAAGGCTTGAGGGCAGCCCGTGATGGAGGAAAAGGTAAAACAACTGTCTCATGTTTCCATTTAATTAGACAAATGCTTATTGAACATCTATTATTTGGACAGATTAGTGTTAAATGCTATCCAACACTAAGAAATGAATAACACACAAACTCTACCACTATGAATAGAAGGGAATACACACATGAAAATGATTAAAATACAAAGTAGGATGCTAGGATAGCACAGAAGTACAAGATGATTCCAGATGGTGACATCATGTCTATTTCAGGGACAGAGAAAAGAACAGACCTCACTGAGGGGACAGGTGTCCTGTACCTTGAATGATGCCCAGGATTAAGGCCAAATTATGGGAAAACAGCATTTTAGTAGCAGACCAGATGGGAAGAGAGTTGGGTGTGTTGCAGTTTTAACAAAATGTGTCAACATCGGGGGAGTAAAAGAAGTAGAAAATATGAAGGAAAATTAGGCTTCGGTAAGAACGTACGGTACCTTTGATGACAGGGTTAATGACTTTTAACCTTATTCTGGAAGGAACGGGAAGACAATAAAAGGTATCAAACAGGAGGATGACATGCAAACCCAGCTTTTAGGACAGGAACCAGGAAAACTTGATGGGTTAGAGAGAGAGGATGAAACTGAGACTAGACCTCAGAGTATTATCAAAATCAAGTGAGCAGACATGACAGCCTCCACAAAGAGGAAGAGGTCAAGGATATGGAGATGAGATGGAGAAACCTACTGGAAATTCTGTGAACAAGCCACCGGGGGAGTAATACCAGCGGAGTAGTTATAGGTGAGAGGTGATGGATATATCCATTCGCCCGGAAAACACACACTAGGTGTGTATGATGTGCCAGACATGCAAAATACAGGCATCACAACTGTGGTTCTTTCCTCACTTCAGGAGATGACACTTTAGTTGGAACCATTAGAAGGAGTAATTCCAACCCACTGTGATGACAGCTAAGATGTGCAACACACACCTAGACAAATGGATTGGTAAACATGGGAGAGCTAGAAGGGCAAGGAAGCGTCAACCAAGAATATTCTAGAAAATTCCTAACTGTGTCACAAGACAGTAAAAGGGAAAGAAAACACAAACAAGTAAAAAACTCACACTTTTGTAGAGGTCAGATGGCTCCCTGCTCTCTCTGTGGTAGCACCCTCCAATCCCTCCTTCCTCAGCAATTATTAATAATAGCACCCAGGTTGCTTGGCTCAGAAGATATACAACTATTTGAAATTATGTTATTTGCTTATTAGAATGTGAGCCTCATTATGTCTTGTTCACTGCTGTGCACAATAAATATTTGAGGAATGAATAAATTAAGGCTTTGTCACTGTTAAACCTTGTTCTTCTTCTCAGAACCCCAGTCTTTCTCTCTCTCTCTCTCTCTCTCTCTCTCTCTCTCTCTCTCTCTCACACACACACACACACACACACACACCCCACCCTCTCACTGACAGCTTTTTCCTTGGAGGAGGAGGAAGATAGGGTGGGAGACAGAACAGAAGTAACAGGCAGAACAAGAAAAGGAGGGACCACCAACTCCTACTAATTTTCATGTGAACTATTCTAGCTTTCCCCTCTAATACTACCACAACTTCTTCTCCTCCTTCCAGTAAGAACAGTACTCAAAAAAATACATATGTGGATGCTGAGACAGCTTGACAAATTAAGGAGTTAGTGATAGAGATCCTCCGACATCGGAATCACTCGGGGTGAACAAGATGCAGGATCAGCCGTACTACTCACCTGTTATAGGAAATGACAGTGCCGGTGGTAATTAGGATAACAAACAGCAACAATAAAACTGTCCCTCCAGCCATGAAGAGGATATATTGGTTATTGGTTTTACCTAGGAGGAAAAAAAATTATAGTAGGAATTAGGAATTCAACCAAAGGCAGAAAAAAGAAAGGTAGGAAAATGAAGAGTAACAATTAAAAATAACAAAGAATCCAATAAAAAAAATACTAAAGGAAAAAGATAATTTTAGAGTCTTTTAAATATTTCTCACCCTGCACAGATTTTTCTTTGTCCCCTGATTAGGCTGGTTTTAACACCTTAGGAAGAACGAGAATATCAAGGGCGTGCATCCACGAAAGACATCACTCCATTCTACTAAGCTTCCAATCACACTCACAAAATCTTTTGTAGAAAAAAAATATTGATATAGTAAATAAATGAAGATTTCTTTTTATGTCTGATATAGTAAGTGCATTCAACACACACCAGTATGTCATTTTGGGGTTTATAAGTAGAATTTTGTTTTAAAAATATTTTGGCTTAATTTGTTAATGATTAAACATAATTAGAAAAAAATATGTTATTCCAACTCAGTGTTTCAGTGGAAATTCACGACGGTCCAGGGATCTGAAATCTTCATCCTGGGTCTTTTACTATTTAGCTGACTGACCTCCAGAAACTCCCCTCGCCTTCTCTGCATGTGTCTCTTCGTCTGCCAAGTGGGAGCAAGGACGGCCATCCTAATTACATCACAGAATCGCGGCAAGAATCTAATGAGTCAATAGTCAAAAGAGGGGTGAGCTACTCCTAGAGAAATGTCCCCTCTGGAGCGTGACTCCAGTGAGGTCGGAGACCATTTTATCTTTTTATTGCATCCTCCTGCCCAGGACCCTCGCCACACGCCCCCACCCACGGCGCACCCTGCCACGCTTCACACGGGGAAGAAGCCCGTCGGTATCTGCTGCCGGTGGGAGTAGGGTTGCACTGAATCCTTGTGGTTGTCTTCATCGCCATCTCTCTTTGGGACAACACATCTGCCAATCCTCTACACACACACACACACACACACATGCACACACAAACACACATGCACACACACACATGCACACACAAACACACATGCACACACAAACACACATGCGCGCACACATGCATACATGCACACACATGCACGCACACATACACAAACACACACATGCCCGCAAACATACATGCATACACACATACACACACAAACACACACACAAAAACACACACATGCACACACACACACACAGAAAAGGGCCAGGTGAGCAGAGGGCAGCACAACTTTCCTCCCTTTTGAAATTGAAGCTCGGATGCTTGTACCGCAATTCCCAAGCCATGTGGAGTCCTACTGCAACGTGAGAATCACGGTTTTCGACCAACTCTTTCCGCCTTTCCCCCAGGTTATTTCTTCTTCATACTCCACTATGTAGCCACAAGTGTTTTTCATGATAACTCAAGGTCTAGGCCCACTCATTCTTTTACAAGCTGTACTGCACAGGGAAACTAAGACAAATAATAAATGTTTTATTATTTAAACTTGTTGAAGCTAGATTTCACAGGTAAGCGAGCTCGTACGGTATTATTCTTTCTGTGACTGGCTTATCTCACTTAGCATAATGTTCTCAAGGTTCATCCGTGTTGTCACACGTGACAGGACTTTTCTTTTTTAAGGGTGAATAGTACTCCACTGCATATATGTACCACATTTTCTTTATCCATTCACCTTCCTATGGACACTTAGGTTGTTTTCATATCTTGTCTCTTGTGGATAATGCTGCAATGAACATGTGAGTGCAGATATCTCTTGGAGGTACTGATTTCATTTTCTTTGTCTATATACCCAAGAGAGGGGTTGATGGGTCATATGATAGTTCTTTTTAAGTTTTTTACGAATCCCCATACCATATCAATAATGGCTATACCAATTTACATTCCCACCAACAGTGTACAGGGAAGGCTTCCCTCGTCTCCACATCCTTGCCAGCACTTGTTATCTCTTGTCTTTTTGATAGTAGCCATTTTAACAGGTATGAGGTGATATCTCACTGTGGTTTTGACTTGCATTTCCCTGAGAACGAGTGATGTTGAGTGTCTTTCCATAAACCTATAGGCCAGTTTTCTGTCTTCTTTGGAAAAACATTTATTTGGGTCCTTTGCACATTTTTGCATTGGGTTATTTGGTTTTTTTTTTGCTATGAAATCCTGTCATTTGCCATAGCATGGATGAATCTGGAGGATAGTACACTATGTAGCAACTCCAGTATGATCTCAATTGCATGTGCAATCTAAAAAAGTCTAACTCATAGCAGCAGAGAGGAATATGGTGGTTGCCAGGAGCTGAGGAGGCAGAAAATGGGGAGACGTTGGTTAAAGGTACCAACTTTTGGTTAGAAGATAAGCAAGCTCTGGGGACCTAACGTACAGAACGGGGAGCCACAGATGAGTTAATTCAATTGTGGTGATCACCGCACAATGTTTACATTTGCCAAATCATCACATTGTACACTTTGAATATATTCGATCTTTATTTGACAACTAAACCTTTAAAAAAAATCTTAAAAGCAATTGTGCTCTTTGGGGCTTTTTGGTACTTTCAAAATTTTCTAAATGATGAGTTGGTCTTGTAATCAGGAAAAAAAGTATAAAAATGTAAAGATCTGCGTGCTTAAAGCAGAATAGCCTACCAAGTTTTAGTGGATACATCTAAAGTGCAGGACATAGAGACCTTTTTAGGACCTGAGGCATAATTAAGAAGCATTCTTTATTACAGCCCTAAGATTATGAATTTTAGAAGTAGAGTTCTTGAAAGTATGGCCATTTGTGTCACACTGCTCAATCATAAATACAAATTTCAAATGGGTTCTTTAATATGAAATTTTTCACCTATTTTAAACCTCTTCTAGTAAAGTGTGACCTGTTAGAGTGAGATCCATTTATTCATTCAGCCTTTAAACACATAGCACTTCAGGGTGTACTGCGTACCTGGTACTGTAGATAAAGTGGTGGGTAAAACAAATCTGATACCTGATTTAATGGAGCTTCTATTGTTTTGGAAAGTGCTGGACAACTTAAAAACAGGGAGCATTTTCCCTCTAGAAATAGGGTAAGAGCAGGGGGGGGGTATAGGTAGATGTTATATCCCCCCCACAAAGACATTTCAATCTAGAGAGTCCCAGCCTGCAGCCAACACTGCTTGCTCTTCACCCCTCCCTTTGCCCTTGGTGGCTTTCAAGTGAATGACCACTACTCAGAACCAGGCTGGTGTAAACACACAACTTTCTGGGCCCTGTAAGTCTGGGTGGCATGGAAAGAAAAAATGAAAAGCAAATGGGTATGGATGCTTCAGGGAGTTAATCAATAGTTCATAACATTCGCTGTTTTCCTTAAGTTTTGCTAATAGATCTTAGGTTGAATAATGTCAGCCCTCAAGCCCTTCTCTCTAAAAGAAGGAAAGATTATTTTGTCTGTTATTCACGCGCACCTTTTGCTCTGCGAAGTTTCACTTCATGTCCGGACGATTCACAGGAGGGACCAAAAGTGTATTGAACGTAAGCCAATTATTTGTGCCCTTCCATCAGCAGAAATGATAACATACAGTACAAGCAATTGAAGCAGTCGGAAAATATTAAATGAAGTAATTTACTCGCATGGACGGTGACCTAGGCTACGTTTCTGCCTGGTGACAGAGGCTATTATGCTGAGTATATAAACCTTTAGAACAAGGCTCGATGATAGAGCGCTTGCCAGATCCTTCCCTCAGAGCCGGGGGACAAGAGCGGCCATTAGTGTCTACTGTCTATCCTTTATGGCGGCTGTGGCTGAGCCAGGGAGTGGCAAAACAAGTAAACTTAGAACCTAACGTAAGCTGGATCAAGAAACAAGCCAGATGGAAAGCATCAGAGGTTCCATCGACCCTCTCATTCTGGGGCTGGGGGGAAGGAGATGAAATGAGAGCCACAGTGAGATGTCACTTCACACCTGCTACAATGGCTTTTGGCATAAGATGAAAGATAAAAAATGTTGGTGAGGGTGTGAAGAAAAGAGCACCCATGTATCCTTTTGAAAGACAAATACCTCGTGATCTCACTTAGATGTGGAACCTAAAACAGTCTATTTCATAAAGTAGAGAGCAGAACGATTGCTACCGGAAGCCAGGCAGAAGCGTTGGGATGGAGAAAATGGGATTGTTGGTCAAAGGGTACAAAATGTCAGACTTACAAGAGGAATAAGGTGACCACAGTCATAATAATATATTATGTATTTCAAAATAATGAAGAGTAGATTTCAAATGTCTCACTTTAAAAATGATAGCTAAATGAGGAAATAGATATGTCAATTAGCTTCCTTCTATCACTGATATTACACACGTTGTACCCCGTAAATATATACAAATATGGTTTATCAATTTAAAATATTGATTTTAATTTTTTTTTTAATTTTAAAGAGAGAAGCCCACATATGAGATCTCATTCTATACATGGATGGAACGTACACAGTGAGTGAGTGCCCATGGAAGATGTATGTGTGAGCTGCCACATTCAGCGTTGTCAGGTCATTCCAAGTTTGACTCACTATACGATGCAGACAACTATCCAAACTTTGTCCCACTTTAGATAGTGGTTTGCCAAAAACACAGAGAGTTAAGAGGGGCCTAGCTCTGTCTTCTAATTCTTCTCCCTGGAAGACCTCACACAAGACACAATGGTTTAGACACTTTTTTGTGCCAACTGCAAAATGATGATAAAATTATCCATTGTAGTTATAGAACTTTAATACAGCATGAAGAGGTGCTTTAATATTTTAAGCACCACATGATATAGTTATTAAAAGTTCATGTTATATACACACTTAAATTTTATGTATACACATTCCAAATTAGGGTTAAATAAATCACTCATTTCTGTTCTTTTCGTGTTGAAATGTCATGCTGAAGTAGTCATGTATAGCAGCGGAGGCTTGCTCCTGTAGCTAAAGCCAAGCTCAGCTTCCTGGGGAAGGGCAGAGACAGTGTCGACAAATACATACACCATAACTGTAGCTTTGGAGGACCACTGGAAATAATGGTAGCCCAAAGTTTGTTGAAC